CAGAAACCATGATGTATTCTATAAATCCGGGACTGTCCCTGGAAAATAGGGGCACTTGGAGGGTCTGGGATTTAATGCCTGTTTTTAACTTTCAGATAATGCTGAAACAGACTTATGGATGGCAAAAGTTGACATTGACTGTTGAATGCAGTCCATCATCAGTCATACCAGATGTTTCACAACCTCTGCTTTTGCAGTCATGGCCAAGCAGCAAAAAAAAAAAAAGAGGTTTACAAAACATCTTGTGTTTTGTAATCCACATGGCTGGTGGATTATCTTCACTGTGGTTAGTCAGAGGTTGCGCAGGCAAGGGTAGAGATTATAACTGGGACAAAAACACTGTTCTTTTAATTCCATTGTCTGGGAGAATGAAATTTCTTCTGTATTTTGCTTGAGTCTCACCACTTCCTGTTTTCTACTCTGGCCACACAGGAGGACTTCCTTTATAAATCTCTATGACCACAGAACCCAAAGTCATGAAATCCAGCTGGTGCTATGCTGAATATTGTACACAGCTTTGAGTGCATTTGGGGGAAGAATGGCGGGTTGCGTGTTGAAAAGAAATGAAAAGCATAAATAGTGCTACTTCAAATTCATCCAGATGCCTATAGATCTGCAAAATTAAAAGTTATACATCTGATACAGAGCTTTGAGAACAGATAAGAATGCCAGGATTTTATTCTTGTCAAGAAACATCTATTCAGGAAACTTTTTCCCCCTTACTTTTTCCCTTTTTTGGCCTTGATTTTTATCACAATGGCTAACAACATCCAAGGCCAGGAAATTAAAAACTCAATGTTTCCTGACAAGAAAGTTTCAAAGCTCTTAATTCGTTTACCCTACATGACTGCTCCTATTAAAGACCTTTGCAAGAACTTACAGATCAGGGGCACGTCTGAGAGCTAATGGCAGGGGTTTTTGTTGCCAGTTTTTCCCTCCCAAAATTGGATTTTGTGCACAGTAATCATATTGCCAGATGGAGCAGTCTATCTTTATCCACAAGGTTCCCATGAAACGTAGCACGGAAAGAGGCTGGCAATGTGGGCACATCATTGTGTTTCCTTTGTGAGCAAGGGGGGAATTGTAGCCAATTCTGTGGTCCTGTTTAAAATAAATTTCTGTCTTCAGCACTGCCAGGTGGATGTCTGTTTTTAGCATAATCGTCAAGGTCCATGCCTTTGTTAAAACAATATTTTCTCATATGTTCAGTACATCTGCACCGAAAACAAAAAGCCCGCTCTCCATAGAATATGTGTTAAAGTACCTGGAGCCGAGGGAGAAACATGCAGTCTAAAAATGAACGTTACGTGCGTTAAAAACAAAATAAATATGCAATCTTATTCCTAGCCTACTTTTGTTTTGAGGCTGATCTGCTGGAAATTTTTCAGGGGCTGTTTTCGGTGCTTACATGCTTACGAAAACCTTCTCCAAGTGGTTAGGTTGTCACCCTCTCTCTGTAAAAATTGAATATTCTTTGAAATGTGTTGCTGGCCAATTAGGTAACAGGCACGTTGAACATCTGTAATGAGGAAAAGTGTGATGCAGGAAATCCAAATATTAATTAAGAATTAATCTTTCTTCCCCCCTCAATTCCTTCCTCCCAATTTGCTTAAGTGAAAGCAGTTGGTAAGTATTTAATATATGAATTATAGTGCAGACAAGTTGTTAGTATGCTGGACTTTTGCTGCCGCTATGACGAACTGACAATCACTGACCTTTCATTTCCTTTCAGATTTTGCATGCTTTCACACGATGGCATTATCATTTCCTTGCCATTCTGGAAAACTGAAAGAATCAAACGACTTCCTCTTCTATCTAGTTATGTAGTCCAACTGCCTGCAATGCAGAAATCCCAGCTGAGGAATCCCTGACAGATCACCATCCAACCTCTGCTTAAAAACCTCCAGTGAACCTTCCAAGAGAGTCTGTTCCACTATTGAACAGCTCTTACCTCAGAAAATAGGGACATTGTAGTCTACCTCAGTAGAATGTCCCTATTATCTGAGGAATGTTGCGGAGGGGTATGCAATCAGAATCTCCTTTTTGGGGTAATTTGAACCCGCTAGTTCGGGTCCTAGCTTCTGGAGCAGCAGAAAAATTGCACGTTCCTTCTTCTATGTGACAGCCCCAAAGCTTTTGGAAGATGGCTATCATCTGACCTGTCTCTCCTCTCTACTCCAGGCTAAACATATCCAACTCCCTCAACTGTTCCTCACAAGGCTTGGTTTCTCGTCTTTCTGCGTTCTCACCAAATCCAGAGGCAGGACATTTCCACTTGTCCTGTGCCAAAAAGCTTTCTGCTCCCCCCTGGGCATGGAGTGGAAAACCACTCTTATCTGTGCTTTCTAGGTTTTCCATTGCCCCACTGCTTTTCCTGGGACAACCCACTGTGGCGATCACACTGGGTCCCCAGACATTTAACGGTCTCTTGATCCCTGTGCCACCACTGTGCACACTTCCCTGCTACCACCAACCAGTTACTCTCTGGTAAAACACTGAGTCCAGTCAGCTGTTAAAAGTGAACCAAAAAACAAGTTTATTTTACAAACATTAACAAGTTTATGGTTTCTCAGATAATATTCCTGTCAGTATCTTAACTTTAGTTTCTTTACTGGCCTATACCTTCCTAATACCTTCTGACTGATTATCTCAACTGTTTGACTGACTCCTCTTAACAAATTCTCTCCCTCTCTCACACCAGACTAGCCCAACCCACAGACTTATCTTCTCTGTCTCTCCCAACTCCAGACTGTCTTCTCAACCACCCTAAATCTAACTCCTCCAGAAAACCTCTGTGCTTAAACCTTATACACGCTTAACTCTGCCCCCTGGGTTCCCATTGGTTAGTCATTTTACAATTAGTTAACCCTTTCCCTATGAACCCAGTATGATGTCAAACATACAGAGGAGGGCAAACGCCACACCTACTTTGTACCACAGAATCAGAGCAAACATCGATATTTGAAAAAACGGCGGGAAAAATGGAAGTACAGTGTTACCTCAGGTTAAGTACTTAATTCGTTCCGGAGGTCCGTTCTTAACCTGCAAGTGTTCTTAACCTGAAGCACCATTTTAGCTAATGGGGCCTCCCGCTGCTGCCATGCCGCTGGAGCACGATTTCTGGATTTTTGTTCTTAACCTGAAGCACTATTTCTGGGTTAGCGGAGTGTGTAACCTGAAGCGTATGTAACCCAAGGTACCACTGTATGGACAAGGCCGGAGACATGAAGACTACAATCTTTTCCTAATAAGCATCTGGACACTGGGCATTATTGTGTTCTTTGTTGCTGGTAGTGTTGCATCTAGAGCCCACCTTTCCTCCAAGGAACTCATGGTGGCATTTATGGTTCTTCACCTCCCTGTTTTATCTCAGTGAAATAGGTTTGACTGACAGCAGCAGTGACTGCTGTCCTTTTGGGATTGGTAGAGCAGGAGGCAGGGACCCCAACAGTAGCCAATGGTAGTTGTGTCTAGTTTTGTCCCCATCCTCCTACCTGCTGAGTTCTGCAAGGTCAACACTGACACAGAAGTGCCACCCCTTGGATTGGTTATAAGAGGACAGGCTGGCTGAGAGGACACTGAGGTTGGTGGGGCAGTGCCCCCATTTGCCCTAAAAGCCCAGCCTCCACTGACAGAGACACTGTGACGGGCACAAGCTCACCCAATGAGCTTTATGGCTGAGTGAGGATTTGAACTCAAGTCTCCCCAGGTCTTGATCCAACACTCTATTCACCCTGGCTCTCACACTGCACTGTACATCTTAATGGTGTGTGTGTGTGTGTGTGAGAGAGAGAGAGAGAGAGAGAGAGAGAGAGAGAGAGATTTGCTGCTCTGAAGCAAAATATCTTGGACCAGTCCTAAATTTTCACCCAAAGTCTGCTTTAGGCATAATTTTTTCTGTTTCATCAAGGTGGCAGTAGCCCTGATCCAGTGGTCAGCCGAGTCCCATCCCAAAACAGTCTCTGTGAAAAGATTAAGCTATTTTAATCTTCAATCACTGCATCTTCAATGCACGCTTCCCATATTACGATTCTCCGTTCTCAAGGTCTGGCCCAATTCATTGTGACCCTGTCTCCTCCCCCTGTGATGTTCGGAGCCTTCCAGAGGAGCTGGCGTAATTTTGGTGCTCTGTTCATAACCTCCCTATCCATTGACGTGGCTCGACTTTCATTCCCTAGCTTAATTATAAAGACAACCAATATGCACAAAATAATCTTCCTCTGAATTACCTGCCTCTTCCTTAATATCGCTCACCCTGCAACATCCAGCGCATTGAACATTTTCCTAATGCATTTATGTCCCTTATTTAAATATCAACAGTGATGCTTCCCCTGTGATGTTTTTATAGGCTGAGATTCAATGTAGTGTGAGCGGGTGTCTATTAATATTAGGCAGGTACCTTCACTGTACTGTTTTCAACAGCTGCTAAAACCTTCTTTTGTTTCAGGCCTGCAGTTTTACCATGCAGTGTGATTTTAAGTAAGTATAATCAGTGGTGTGGGACGCGGGTGGCGCTGTGGGTTAAACCACAGAGCCTAGGACTTGCTGATCAGAAGGTCAGCGGTTCGAATCCCTGCAACGGGGTGAGCTCCCATTGCTCGGTCCCTGCTCCTGCCAACCTAGCAGTTCAAAAGCACGTCAAAGTGCAAGTAGATAAATAGGTACCACTCTGGCGGGAAGGTAAACGGCGTTTCCGTGCACTGCTCTGGTTCGCCAGAAGCGACTTAGTCATGCTGGCCACATGACCCGGAAGCTGTATGCCGGCTCCCTCGGCCAATAAAGCGAGATGAGCGCCGCAACCCCAGAGTCGGGCACGACTGGACCTAATGGTCAGGGGTCCCTTTACCTTTACCTAATCAGTGGTGTAGCATGGGGGGGTAGCAGGGGCTGGAGCCCCGAGCACATTCGGGGGAGGGGGCACATTTTGGGGGCACTGGAGCTCATTTCTTCCTCCCTCCATCACCCTTGTCCATCACTAGCCTTGTTCCTCCGTGCGCCTGGCACGCTGAGGGAGAAACAAGCTCCCTTGGCCACAGCGCCTTGCAGGATCGGGACTCATGGAGCTTGTTCCTCTACATTCTGGGCACTGGCAATGGGTGGAGGCGATGGGTGGCTGCCGGTTCCCAGAGAGCAAAGGAACAAGCTCCATCGGCCTTGACCCCTCAAGGTGTCGTGGCTAAGGGAGCTCCTTTGTCCCTCAGCGCACTCAGTGCACCAGGCTGGAGTGTCACAGTAGGCTCCTTCACCCTCTGCCCCCCGCCCCCATATTTGATCTCTGACAGTTGGTGCCCATGTCCCCTGTGGAATGAGAGCCAGTGTGGTGTAGTGGTTAAGAGCGGTAGACTCGTAATCTGGTGAACCGGGTTCACGTCTCTGTTCCTCCACATGCAGCTGCTGGGTGACCTTGGGCCAGTCACACTTCTCTGAAGTCTCTCAGCCTCACTCACCTCACAGAGTGTTTGTTGTGGAGGAGGAAGGGAAAGGAGAATGTTAGCCACTTTGAGACTCCTTCGGGTAGTGATAAAGCAGGATATCAAATCCAAACTCCTCTTCTTCTTCTTCTTCTTCTTCTTCTTCTTCTTCTTCTTCTTCTTCTTCCATGGATGTCAGTCTTCAGGAAATCGGCTTCCTCCCCCATGGCGGTAACAGTTAGATTCTTTATTAATCACAGTGGGAGACAAAAGAACGCATCTCTCTAGAAATGATGCCGTGCTCCCAATTAAGGCTCACCCCTCTTCCACCCCTATTAATTTACGTCACTCCTGTGTCTTGTAATCTGAGTTTGTACCCTGTGTTTTCTGTTCTAACGTTTTCTGAGCTCTTCTTGACCTTGGGGAGGGCGGTGGAGGAATGCTGTCCAATGACTGTGAATCTGTTAACCCTCTCTCTTCCAGTGTTTCTTCTCCTAGCTCATGGGTAGGCAAACTAAGGCCCGGGGGCCGGATCCGGCCCAATCACCTTCTAAATCCAGCCCGCGGATGGTCTAGGAAACAGCGTGTTTTTACATGAGTAGAATGGGTGCTTTTATTTAAAATGCATCTCAGGGGTTTTTGTGGGGCATAGAAATTCGTTCATTTATTTTTTTCTCCCCAAATATAGTCCAGCCCCCCACAAGGGCTGAGGGACAGTGGACTGGCCCCCCGCTGAAAAAGTTTGCTGCCCCCTCTATGTTCCTCATCCAGTATTTCCCAGCTTCTGGCTTCTGAACTATGCCCCTCTGCAAACCACTGCTCCAAATCTACACTGTCTTCCTGCTCCTGGGAAGATTCAGTCAGGGGGTGGGGGTGGCTCCCACCATTCCTCTTCAATGCTGCCCTCCTCAGCATAGTCCCTGACAATTGACCTTGGTGGACCTTGGTGGCTATGCATTGGACATTGCTGTGAAAGAGGGCCTATGCCCACATATCTGTACATGCATAGGACTCCTCCATGTGATCGAAAAGCCTGGCCAATCAAAGACCAGTGTTGCATGAGCAGTGGGTGCAATGGCACCAGGAAGTTGACACGTGCTGTCCTGCTTCACTCTCAAACATTCACCGACGGCGTCTGTCAACTTGTTTCTGAAGAGCCAGAGGCTGTTTCAAACATTTTATTATATACCTGCCCAAATATCTGATGACCTGGTGCAACTGTCTATATGAACATGAACTGAGCCTCGACCTAACTCAGCAGACGTCAAGTCACCTGTACAGAGATTCTGTGCCTTGTGTAGAGTTTTTCCTGCCTGAATAGCTTTGCTTATGCCTGAAGCTATCATTTATCAGTATCAATGTGAGAATACAGCTGCAAATTAATATTGCACTTAGGACAACAACGGCTGCCAGGTCTGGTATTTTTTTTCTTACTTTCTTCATTAGACCTAGATGGATAATGAAAAACGATTCCTCTGCACTTATTATCTGAGGCAACTTTTCTCTCTCTCCAAAATGGGTTGAATAAGTTGTGCAATGAATATTCACCAATTATTAGCTCTGTAAACATTTGTGAATAATGGAAAGGGAAGGGGGGAGGGCTGGGGTGCCAATGAATAATGCATGTAGACATTATTGCAGAATGAGGTGAATAAATTGAGCAATAAATATTACTTCCCTTCTACCAGTTGTGTTTCAAGAGTGAGAGATGGCCCTTTATGGCATTAAACCACTTTGACTCGCAAAGAGAGACAGTAGGGGGACATCTATTCAAGGACTCACAGAGACCTGAGGCACTCATAGATGACATCGCTGCCCCATTCGGAACATGTATTTAGACTTGTTTTAAGGTCCTTTTGCTCAACAAGAAGAGCATAAAGAAGCATTGTACTCAGAGTTCACAGCTCATCTTTGGAGCACAATGGGCACAATATTTATATGCTTTCTTGACAAGCATTCAGGACAAAAATAAAATGTTTCTTTTCTGAGAGTTATTTCTAGGCTTGGTCATGCCTGCTGACGATTCTCCATGCCTGCACATTGCTGCCTGCAATTGAAATTTGGACCACATTCACAGTATACATTTGAAACAGTATGCTATCACTTCAGACAGTCATGGCTTCCCTCAAAGAATTCTGGGAGCTGTAGTTTGCTGAGTGTAGTGGGAGGCCCCTCCTTCCCTCACAGAGCTACAATTCATGGAGTTCCCTGTGCAGAAGGATTGAGCATTAAACCATTCTGAGAGCTGTAGCTGTGTAGGTGCAGCTGGAAGTGTCTCTTGCCTGAAGCTCTGGAAAATTATTGGCAGTCACTGTTGACAATACTGAGGTAGTTGGACCCAACGGTCCGACTCGGGGCTCATCCACGCTACCGCTTGTTTTGTGCCTAGAAAGCATTGGTCTAAGCAGGTTCTGAATCGACCCACAGTTTCTAGGCATGGGTCCAAGCAGTTTCCCCCTTGCTCCACTCCTTTCCCATGGAAAGCCTGCTGCATCAGAACATAGTCATTTCGGAGAAAATCTGAATTGTTCCGACTGAGCACTAGAGAATGGTTTTGACTGGAGGGAAGCAGCGGGACTTGGAGAAGTTTGGATGAGCTCTCAGTATTTGGGAGCTTCCTGTGTTCCAATAAGAAGAAGAAGTTATTATTTGTACCCCGCCCATGTGGCTGAGTTTCCCCAGCCACTCTGGGTGGCTTCCAACAAAACACTAAAATACAATCACCTATTAAACATTAAAAGCTTCCCTAAACAGGGCTGCCTTCAGATGTCTTCTAAAAGTTTGGTAGTTATCTGGTGGGAGGGCGTTCCACAGGGCAGGCGCCACTACCGAGAAGGCCCTCTCCCTGGTTCCCTGTAACTTGGCTTCTCGCAGTGAGGGAACCACCAGAAGGCCCTCGGTGCTGGACCTCAGTGTCCGGGCAGAACGATGGAGGTGGACACGCTCCTTCAGGTATACTGGACCGAGGCCGTTTAGGGCTTTAAAGGTTTCCTAAGTTCCTGATACACACCTCTGCCATGTATGCAGCCTTTTTCTTAGTAATATCATGTCCTGGGAGGCCTACTGCTCAGTGCAGTACAATGAGCAGGACATTAAAGGCTAAAATTTAAGTAGAGGCATCCACTATCATGCCAGATAATAGTTGAGCTGACCATCGTTTATGCTATACGTGATCGTGCATAAAGAATATGAGGGAGCATTGCTCAGTAGTAGTAGTAATAATAATAATAATAATAATAATAATCTGGCTGGGTGCCATTATTTATTTTATTATGATTTTTTAAAAAACAACAACATTTGTATACCGCTATATTGTAAAAAATATCAAAGCGGTTCACAGCAATAGCACCGTGCAATAAAACCATTTAAAAGTCATCGAGTGAACAGGGCTATATTCTGTCTGTTCACGCGAAGGCCTCTGGTATTAGCAGGCCTTCCATTAAGGAAGCATTTCCAGCAGCAGGGTTATGAAAACGTTTCTATCAAATTTCGTATTTTCATTGTAGCCGAGCCTCCTGGCAGATTAGAAATCTAATTTAATATCCTGAGTCATTTCCCTCTAAATTCTAGGCAAGGCAACACTTCAGCTTGCAACACAAATATTAGCTTTGTCTCCTCCACAGGCGGGCTGAGGAAAATGTGTGGGCTGAGATCAAATGTAAATGGTGATTCTTTTGACTCAGCTCACACATATCTCTGGAGTAGGATAGATGCAGGGAGAGGGGGTCCCCCATCATTCTGTTCTGCCCTCTGAAACCTGCCACCGACTTCTTCTGCTTCATGGGTCCTCTGAATGTTTGTCCACCCCCACAACCCTCCAGCCTTTGCTGAGCACCCTGCAGACTTAAGAGTCCGGCTGGAGCATTGGAAATTGCTCATTTCAATTTAATGACTTTTTGGGTTTCCCCCCTATCTTTTGTTCATGCAAATGATTTATCATGGAAGGGTCTGAACAGAGCAGGAGTGCAGATGGTTCGGTTTGAAAAGCTTGCCCTCCGCTGCAGCACGGGGGCAGAACTGAATCTAATGGGCTAAAGTGGGGATACTGGAGGAATTTGGTTTCTGTGAATTGCAGTGCAAACTGATCTGATCCATACCCTCCAACATTTCTCTGATGAAAATAGGGACATCCTAAGAAAAAGAGAAGGGACGCAGGTGGCGCTGTGGGTTAAACCACAGAGCCTAGGGCTTGCCAATCAGAATGTCAGAGGTTCGAATCCCCGCGAAGGAGTGAGCTCCCGTTGCTCGGTCCCTGCTCCTCCCAACCTAGCAGTTCAAAAGCACGCCAAAGTGCAAGTAGATAAATAGGTACCACTCTGGCGGGAAGGTAAACGGCGTTTCCGTGCACTGCTCTGGTTCGCCAGAAGCAGCTTAATCATGCTGGCCACATGACCCAGAAGCTGTACGCCGGGTCCCTCTGCCAGTAAAGCGAGATGAGCGCTGCAACCCCAGAGTCGTCTGCAACCTAATGGTCAGGGGTCCCTTTACCTTTACGGAAAAGAGGGACTTTCCAGGTTCAAATCAGAAACTGGGACAGCTTCTGTAAATCCAGGACTGTCCCTGGAAAATAGGGAGACTTGGAGGGTACGTGATCCTTCCCCAATAGGAAGCAGAGTGGCAAACTAATTTGTGGATCAGCATAACTGGTGCCATCTCTTGCTTCCTGAAGAGCCTGCAAGGTAGATTGTTGAGTCATAGGAATATAAGAAGCAGCTTTATGCTGAGTCGGACCATTGGTCCATCTAGCTCAGTATTGCCTATCAGGGACCCAAGGATCTGGAGTTGGACTACATCTCCCATCAACCCCAGCCAGTGTGGGTGAAGATACAAATATGTGCTAGATCTGCAGCTGCAGACAGGAAACCAGTGTAGGGATGGAGGCTGATATATGGAGCAGGAAATAATCTGGGTCAAATCTCACCCCGCCATGAACTCGCTAAGTGGCCATAGACAATATGTGTGCGATGGTTCCGACCTATCTTGCCTCATTTTTGTATAGATTATGGAGAAGATTCATGTAGCACGTCGTGAGCAGTTTTCACAAAGTGTTACATAAATAATAAGTTTTATTAACTTTGGAGGCAGGTCTTTCAACCGTATCGATCAAAACCTCCTTCTCGCTGAACACTGAAAGACCACTGCATCACTACAAGTGACAACTTGTTTAAACCCCTTAATTGTTGGATGTTTGACAGCTTTTTTTTTAATCATTTGTCAAGCCTCGATTGTCTTTTCTGGATCTCCTCATGATTAACTTACGGATTTCCTAATGGAGCGTTAATGTTCTCTGTGTAATTCATTCTGAGGCGAGCCCATCTGTTCCAGGTACTTTGTGCTTTCCTCAAATTTGCACTGATGAATTCTTGCACTGCTTCTTTTCCTAGTAATTTTGTGGTTTATTAATTCTTCAGGAGGACCAGAGATTAGCAACTAATAGTCTCTCAATTATTAAAATCACTGTCTGTCTCCCTCCTACCCACCACTAGACCACCAGGGCCTTCCCGCCCCCCCCCCCGCCCCCAGGAAAGACAAGTTCTTTTGCTGCTTCCGGTCAACTCCATATTTTTACTTTCGGTAGGAGGACAACAGCAGAATATGACATAGCCCAGGGAAAGGGAATCCGCCTTGCACGCAGAAGGTTCCAGATTCAATCTCTACGTAGGGCTGAGATTGTCCCATGTCTGAAACCCTAGAGAAGTCCTGCCAATCAGGGTAGACATTACTGAGGCAGATAGACCAATGAGCTGAGCCAGTATAAAGCAGCTTCCTACATCACCTTTTTATTGGTCTTCCTGGTTCTCAACTTGCTCAGTTTCCTTTGATATTTGAACTCCTGTTCCCATCCGATTTATCTTACTTGACACTGTGACCTCATCACGCCTCTTCATTGCCTTCCCTTTCCCATTCCATGTTGAGTTTTAGCTGCTGCTTCTTACCCATAAATCTCCTGGCGATCTAGCTCTGTCTTATCTCTTCTCTCACTTTCTCTGTATTCTCCTCCATGGCCACTTCAAGCTGCTAATATTGATCCACACTTTAAATGGCCAGTTTCATTCACTTTTCCCCTCTAGCCTTCCTTCCTTCCTTCCTTGTTGCTCCTTATACTTGGAATTCTTTAAAACAGGCATAGGCAAACACAGCCCTCCAGATGTTTTGGGACTACAATTCCCATCATCCCTAGCTCACAGGACCAGTGGTCAGGGATGGTGGGAACTGTAGTCTCAAAACATCTGGAGGGCCAAGTTTGCCTATGCCTGCTTTAAAATCAGGGTAGCCGATATGGTGCCCCTGAGATGCTCTTGGACCACAGCTCCCTTACTATATGCTGGCTGGGGCTGGTGGGAATTGAGTCCTGGGGAGGGCACCATGTTGGAAACCTAAGCACTAAATATTCAGTTAGCTACTTCTCTTCCCTCTTTTAAGAAGCTTTGCACCTTCTTATTCTGATATTCTTTTTCCTACTCTTCTCATAGCTGGTCTTCTTCCTTTCTTCCTCCTTGTACCTTCCAGTAGATGCCATCACAGTGAGTTTGCATTTTATTTTTTATTTTTAAACACTTTTTTTGCTAATGAACATGCCCATGAATTTTATTTTTTCCTTTAAAGGGAATTACAAAATATTTATGTGTATGGTGTGTGCCTTTTTCTATATGAAACAATATGTTTCCTCTTACACTGTTGATGTTGATGATGTTGTATGTCTTGAAATTAACTTGCAGGCATTCGGTTTTTTATATTTCAGTAACTGGCTAAGACCTCTCTGGAACATTTAGCAGAATCGGGAGAAGGGAAGTAAGCTGTTGCCTCACATTTTGGGGCCGTATGGCTGGAATCAAGGGACTGCAGACACCTTTGTCACCTTCTGGGAATGTAGACCAGACTTGCTTATCAACCAGATTAATGCTTCAAACTCTTTGGCACGTTGTCATATTTGAAGTCAACTCCCTTGAGGATTCGTCCTTGGCTCATTTTATCTCGCATGACATGATGTGCTTCCGAGCACCACGTGACCAGGACATGGTCACGTCCACAGCTGGTTCTCAGAATCTCTCTTTGCTTGTCAGTCGCCAAAGCATCTTGTTGATACTTGGTCAACTCGCTTTCACGATGGGTTTTGACTCCAGTAGCTGCCATTAAACACACAAAACATAACCGGCTGTACTTTTGAATAAATAAGGTATACTATTCATTGTATCAGGGATGCGGGTGGTGCTGTGAGTTAAACCACAGAGCCTAGGACTTGCCAATCAGAAGGTCAGTGGTTCGAATCCCCATGATGGGGTGAGCTCCCGTTGCTTGGTCCCTGCTCCTGCCCACCTAGCAGTTCAAAAGCACATCAAAGTACAAGTAGATAAATAGGTACCACTCTGGTGGGAAGGTAAACGGCATTTCTGTGCACTGCTCTGGTTCACCAGAAGCGGCTTAGTCATGCTGGCCACATGACCCGGAAGCTGTACGCCGGCTCCCTCGGCCAATAAAGCAAGATGAGCACCGCAAACCAGAGTCGGTCACGACGGGACCTAATGGTCAGGGGTCCCTTTACCTTTACCTTTTTATTCATTGTATCAATTTGTAGATTGATTTCAACAGAAGTCTCATAAAGTTCAACAAAAAAAGCAGAAGACCCAGTGGATCAGTCCATTCTCTAGTCAGTTCATGTATAAGTATCTATTCCACCTGTCTGTTCACAGGGTCCAATAATCCACATGAAGGGTTGTTACAGTTCCACAGAATCCTTTCACAGAGTCTCAGACAAGGATTTCCGGAATATTAGCCTTGTTTCGCAACCACTACTATGCTATAAGATCCACTATCCTGTAATATTACATATGAGCCTGTTCTACTGATGAAGCCTAGGATGGCGAAACATGACCTGCATGAACTGACTAGAGAATGAACTGATCCACTGGGTCTTCTGCTTTTTTCATTGAACTTTATGAGACGTCTGTTCAAATCTACAAATTGATACTATTCATTTATTTATTTATTTATTTATTTATTTATTTAAAAGTACAGCTGGTTACGTTTTGTGTGTTTATCGAGTGTGTTCCATGTATCCAGTAGCTGCCAAACAGCCCCACATATAATGTGTAATAGAACCTAGAGGTTGCCAGAGCATAGACGATAGAAGTTAGGCTATCCCTGTCCAGATAGGAGCACAGCTGAGCCACTGGCAGATTCTGATGGAAGGCACTCTGCCCCACTGAAGCTATCAGAATCTCAAGCAACATCAATGAAACCAGGTGAGCATTTCTGCCCTACCAAGCTACTGGCAACGAGACAAACCTCCTGGAGCAGGAAGGGGATGTATATACAAACAGTATCGAAGTTAGTTTAACTGAGGTTTTAGAACCACTAATTAAGTGACATAATACATTTTATTTTTGAAATAATGGATCTCGTCTGCAATGTCAAACACAGATTGCCTTCCTTTCACTCTGGTTAAACAGATCTCTCTGTGACTGACAGCTGTGTAACATAATACACATTTCCCTCCCCAAAATGCATTGCGCCTTTATCCTGAAGAGATGAATAGTCTATCCCATTTCCGTGTTGGTGAATTCCATTTAGGAATCAGAATTAGGAAAGGGGCTGAAAATAAAACTGCCAAGATGATAGTGCTTTTCATAAGACCCTAATACAAACCTATGGTGCAGCCACACGTCGAAAACTGTGTGCGATTGTGATTGCCGTGCCACGAAAAGCATATTGTGGAGCTAGAAACATTACTGAGAAAGGCAAACAAAACAGTCAAGGGGCTGGGGCAACTGCTGCCCAGCAGCCAGAGTTTCGACTGGCACCTGTCAGAGACGGGCAGGACACTGGTGCTTCTGTACTGGGAAAAGGGGGGTGGAGACTGACAAGGGAGAGAGGGGCAGTGATCTTTGGGGAACTGTACCAGCCAGCAGGCAAGTGTCGGAAGTCAGAGAAATGTCAGAACTGGAGGGGCAGAGCACAGCATGGGTCGGAAGAAGAGGAGGAAGAGGCAGGTCAAACAAGTGAGGAATCGGGTTCTTCCCCACCCTCTCCTGCACCACTTTCTCCCAGAATCAGAAGGGGATTGAAAAGGGGAAAGCAGAGGAAGCTTTCACATAAGTGTAGTCCTCAGCTGTGTGTGTACAGCCCATGGGGGGAAAGCCCATGAAATCTTGACTAAAAATAAATAAATATCATCTTGATATGTCACTTGTGCTGAAATTCTGTATGTCTAGTATGAAAACTCTTAAAGGCTTCCAGCTTGATTCGCAAGGACTTTCATCAACTCTTGATGTAATCTTTACCACTTTGAAATAAGTTTCACTATGATTTATTTAGGTTGCTCGTGGAATTAAGTCTTCCCAGAAGTAAAGCATTCAGCATTCCTCAGAATGTACAAATGGTTCTGGTGCTCATGGCAGCACTTGCCATGTTCTTGAAGCAATTTGATGCCACAGTTTAAGAAGTTACAGGCAGGTATCCGTGTTGGTCTGCATTAGTCGAAAGAAAATAAAAAAATTCCTTCCAGTAGCACCTTAGAGACCAGGTTCTTGGTATGAGCTGTATCTAAAGAAGTGTGCATGCACACGAAAGCTCATACCAAGAACAAACTTAGTTGGTCTCTAAGGTGCTACTGGAAGGATTTTTTTTTATTTTGTTACCATTTAAGAAGGATATTGTCAAGCTGGAAGATGTGCAGAGGAGGGCAACCAAGTCGATCAAGGGTCTGGAAACCAAGCCTTATGAGGAATGGTTGAAGGAGCTGAGTATGTTTAGCATGGAAAAGAAGAGACTGAGAGGAGATATGATGGCCATCTTCAAATATCTCAAGGGCTGCCACATGGAGGATGGAACAAGCTTGTTTTCTCCTGCTCCGGAGGGTAGGATTCAAATAAATAGCTTCAAGTTACAAGAGGGGAGATTCTGGCTAGACGTCAGGAAGAACTTTCTGACATTAAGAACTGTTGGACAGTGGAACAGACTTCCTTGGAAAGCAGACTCTCTTTTACTGGAGGTTTTTAAGCAGAGGTTGGATGGCCACCTGCCATGGATGCTTTAATTGAGTTTCCTGCATTGCAGGGGGTTGGACTAGATGACCCTAAGGGTCCCTGCCAAGTCTTCAGTTCTATGATTCTATGACCAGCTGCAGTAGAAACTATGGTTCATTGTTGTCATTAAATAGTTAAAAGAAAAATTTACTCATGCTGAATTGATGTTTATTCTCTGGCTGCAAGATTTTTCCAGTGCCAGCCTCTTCAAGAGGTGAGCAGATGTATAGGATCTTGCAGTCAAATCCACAAGCTTTTGCTTAAGTAAGCACAATACCGTAGGATTCCCGTGTTGCTCATTCAGTGAGCATGGCATGCCAACACCTTTCATTTTTTTGACGAAGGAAGGGAGAAAAGGCCTTCAAAATCAATGATAATGACTGGCACAAATTGTTTAAGTCTTTCTTTGTAAGAATAAAGTATGCATGTTTTGAATACTATGAAATCAAAACACTCAGCTATTTCAAATTATTTTGCATATATTAAAAGCAGAGATCTCACAATAATGAAAAGACGCCACAAGGTGCCAAAGAACCATTATGTTTATCATTTCAGAAATGAATGCATGTTATCCAATTTTCCGAAAATAAAAAATGTCCTGTTGCTGTCTTTTAAAAAAGAAAAAAGAATGATGTAATTAATGAGCTTTGCAATATCTGTGGTCTGCCAGATCCTTTTCAAATAGTCAACAATTGTAAGCGCTCTGTTATCCTTAAATTTTGCTGCTTTCAGCACATAATAGGTTTGTAACATATTCCATGGTGTGGTTCAGCCATACCCTTAAAATAATTTAACAGCAAGATGACTGTATCCCATAATGATTCATATTCTAACACTTCTGCAATTAATTTGATATTTTTTACACCAGTAAGATGTATCTTCCCACAGTACCATCACATATACTAAAAATGTAGTGGTTCCTTCTTGGCTTCTGCAGCAATTTCACTTATGGTGTTACATACATGCCTGTACAATCCCTCTTTTCCTCCAATTTTTATAAGTCTCCTCGCTTGTATGTTGCCACAACTGGTGTGCAGAGGCATAGTGCCTCTGACAGCCAACAAAGAACATAGTGATCATGGCCAGTAGCCATTGAGCTTGTCTGACAGTAAGAGCTGTTCGACAGTGGAATTTGCTGCCAAGGAGTGTGGTGGAGTCTCCTTCTTTGGAGGTCTTTAAGCAGAGGCTTGACAACCATATGTCAGGAGTACTCTCATGGTGTTTCCTGCTTGGCAGGGGGTTGGACTCGATGGCCCTTGTGGTCTCTTCCAGCTCTATGATTCTATGATTCTATGATTCTATAATCTTCTAAAGTCAACCAAATTGGCGACCATCCATGATGCATCCAAGACCAGCTAACTGATGGTTGTAGGTGGTCGACTTCACTAGTATGGGTGAAACAGAGAGAATGGTGACCATATAACAGATGGCACTGTCAGGCACAGAGGATCCAACTACCACGGCAGGTTGCCAGGAGCGGATAAGACAAGGAAAAGTTCTTACCAACTGTTTTTTATTTAATATTAACAAAGAGAGGCTTGGAAATGTAGCCTCTTGGAATAATGGTGTTGCTCTAAATGAGTCTCCACCCCCACCCTCTCTCCCTTCATGTGTCATTACTGTGCTGGGCCCAGGGGTTAACACGAGCAATGCGGTCCAGGTCCAGTCCCGAATCCAAGGATTCCACAAGGAGTCAGTCTGACAGGGCCAAGGCAGGAGACGAGGCAGGAAACTAGGCTAGGTCAGGCACAGGGTCTCAGGCAGGTTCTAGCAAACAGCAATGTTCCTCCCGCAACCTGGGGCGGGGTCTGACAGCCTTTTATCTTTGTCGGGTTAACGGCTGGTCCTGATCCCCCAGTGACTCACCTCTCTGTTTTGCCCGAAAGAGAGCACTCCTCCTGCGAGTACTCAGGTCTCTCCTCTCAGACCTTAGTCTCTGCAGCTCGGGAGATGTTGGTGGGTTACTAGACCCAGAGGCTGCCTCAGCCTCTCCTGACCCAACTGGTAGTGGAGCAGATGTAAGTGATTGCCTAGTTGAAGGCAACAAGGTAATCCCCGCATCTGGAGCCAGGGCCGGCTCAGGCCCCTAACTCGGCCCAGCTGGTGCTT